TTATTTCAATTAATTTGGAAAATTACTACAATTCTCAACACCCCTGAATTGGACAGATCATAAAATAATTAAATTTGTATTCCATTAATGAAATAGACTTTGTAAACTTTTAATTATAAAAGTTTTATAATGCGTTATGATTTTTAAAATATAGTTTCTAATTTTTTATTTTGCAAAGTTTTCATGAAAACTTTTGTTCTAAAATAGTTCAATTTCTAAAAGTTTTCTTCTATTATTTAAATCTCAATTTCAAGCAATGAATTTTAATTTTTAATAAATTTTAATTTAAGACTATACAGAAATTGATTTTTGTTATTTGTAAGAAATTTTAGCAGAATGAAAGATTTAACAATAGTGTCACAGTACGATAATTATTATGTAGGAAATGAAAATGAGGATTAAATGAAGAAAGTTAGTTCTATAATAATGTTACAAAAATACGAATGATTATTTCTAGTGGATCTAGGTGGAACGCGCAAACTAATAATGAGAGTTGACAAAGCAGGATAATAAATAAAGCCATTCAGTAAGTTAAAAAAAACATATCAATGTATAAGATTTACATTTAAATTAGGTCAAGTGGAATTAACATTTTTAAATCCCTAACAGCAATAAATATTTCAGGATATCCTACGGACATCCAAGTCATATCCGGAAATAATTATATCCCTAGGCACAGTTAAAGCAATATCTTATTTTAAGGCAACAAGGCAGTCTTAAATTAAGATGCAACATTTTAAAGACAACCAATGTTGCATTTACGCAATGAATTTTTGAGGATTTAACATCGAAGCAAACAGTTCTTAATTTAAGATTTACTTTTTACTGTGGGATGTCCTTAAGATACCCATAGACGTCCCTGGGACATACTGTCGTGGTAAGTTAGAAAGTCTATAACTGCTGAGTTGCTTTAAGGTTGTTTTTCCCTAAGCTTTCCAAGCTAATATCAGGATAAAAACAAATAACAGTTATAGACATTTTTATTTTGTATGGCAGCATAGATGCTGTAAGTGAATTAATTCAAAAGTACTATATGTAAAAAATAACAAAATTTACTTTTAACGTCAAGATGAATATATATCATTTGTTCGCCTCTGGTTCATTAAAGAATTTTCATCAAGAAGAGTATTAACTTACAAACTATGTATACCAGACTGTATTACACTTGAAAATACATTTGAGAAATGGATTAGTACTCACTAATCCATTTCTCAAATCTAATCCTTTTTTAATGAAAGACTTGTATATTATCTTCATACATTCCAATTCGTACTTTGCACAATTACAATATTTATAAATATAAATATATTTATATATAGATGCGAATACAACATGAATGAATTAACTTCGAGTTACAATACTTTTTTGAACAGAAAATCAATTAAAAATACATTAAATTTTTTAAAAGTATTTTTAATAAACAAGGGTACTCTAAACTATTAAAATGAAACTTGAAATTTACCAGTATAAAAATTCATTTACAATAAAAGAAGATTGACGTCATTCTTGAAATGGTATGTTTCCCAAATCGATATCTCTTGAAATCTAACATCGACAAAATGGACCCTATTCACGTCAACGTATAAACGTATATTACAATCTTCAGTTTAGAAATGTATTTAATTTTATGATTATTTAACATTTGAGTATAAAACTAGAAGTCCACTTTTGGACTGAGGGAAAAAGGGTAATAAACAATAAAAATAGGATAATAATTATTTTCTTGTAAAAATACCTCGAATATTGTTAAAAAATGTTTCTGCAAATATTACCCAGCAGTTTTAATAAAATATAGGTATATAAATGAAGATTGTATCTGGTACAAATTAGATAAGTTAATATAATTCTACCAAGGGGTCTATTTTCACTCGTTGATTCACAAATTTCAGAAACTATTTCATAAAATTAAGTGAAGAGTTCAGCAATTTTACATGTGAATTAAAATTGCAGAAATTAAAAAAAAATTATTGACAAAGGTTAATATAACTGATTTACATTTTTACTGGTCAGTAAAAGTAATGATTGGGGTCACATTACAAGTGAGACGGAGGTTCAAAAAGTATATGACGCAGATTATAAATTAAAAAAAACCTTTGCAGTGGTCCAGTTGTTTTTATTAATCATTGGTAATTTTCAAACAATTTTCAACAAACTAAATATGACAAGTAAGGGAACTGTTTCACTTTGAATTATTAAAAAAACGTAAAAATAAACTGAACAATACTTTGAAAATTATAAAAATTTGTTTCTTATATCACAAAACACGAAGTGAAAAAACACGCATACTTTTTACACTGAAGAAACAATGAACCCACTTATCCACCTATAAAGTTCGCGAAGGAATACTAACTATGATCCAACAGGTTTGCGCATGGAAGTTGGTAATTTCCCCCTTGAAACCCACCTCTAATCGTTTCGCAAATATTCCATTTAAATCAACTGTCCCAAGTCTCCCCTAGAGCTATAAGGTACTGAGTCAAGTAATTCTTTCAGAGTTTTCGTCAATTTTTAAGTATCACATCTTATTAGTTGTTCAACGTTAATTTCTTACAATTATAGTATAACTACTTTTTAAGGGCATTATCTTAAATTAATAGATTTTAAATATCAAGCAAAGACTTGTCATAATTGAAAGGAACTTAATTTTATCATTTCTAAACAATTACTTGTAACCCCTATATTCAATTCAATGGAAATAATAACAATCTGATAATCTCGGTAATTATCAGATCGTATAAAACTACAATATGAAAACAAAAATGATCTATTACTTGAATGCAGTCATTAAATGATCGAAGAATTGATTTTAAAACGTATTCTTGTTTTCAATACAGAAATTCTTCTTGGGTACAATATTAATATATAAATCTGATTATGGTTAAAGGTCTCCTCTTAAATTAACTAAAAGTGTTCCTAAATCCCCTTATAATATTTTTATTTGAGGGGGATGTTGTTATTGCTTTTTTATATAACTTCACATTTATTTTCATATTTTACATATATATGAGTAGCTTTCTTTCCCCGTCAACAATGAGCCTCTTATTCGGATATATGTTTTGCCAATGTGTAAAATTCTATTCTATCTTATATATAGTCAATTAAAGCATTTATATTAACAATTAATAATTATAGAAATATAAAACTATAAAAATATTATAATAATAATAAAAAACTAATTTATTTTAAAAAATTCATATAAAAATGATTGAAGGTTAATCAATGATTGTCGATTACGGATTTAATCATTGATCAACTTTTAAATAAACTGTGTTGGTAAAACCGGCTCTAAAAGTATCAAATTCATAATTAATTGTCAGTTATCAATGGAGTAAGTTATAATCCAACCCCAACTTCTGAAGGTAAGAAAGCTCACACTGCAACATGTCTGACTGTTACCCTCTGTTGGGTGCAGCTTACGTTTACATAGATAGATGCCGCCTCAGGACTATGTTCATGATTTTACATTTTACATCTGTCGGTAAAGACGATCTATTGATGTGAACTAAACTTTTCCATTGGCGCGGGCGAAAATAATTTGACTGAATTTCGTATGTCGGATATCATACCTACAGAATGTTATATTTTATTAATTGACAAACGTCAAAGGAAAATGAAATTATTAATGTAAAAATCTCTGGATGTTAAAAAATTATTTATAATAATGTGATAATAATATTTTATTTAGTAGCTATTGATTAAGCAGAAAAGTGAATCGAAATCAGAATGTTAAGAAAGTAAGCTATATTTTAAATTATATTTTTTAATGAATTGTTAAATTTCAGTAATCCAATCAGTTCACTAACAGTATTTTTGTTTTAGGAACTAGAAATTAATCATCTCGACTGCTGAGGACATCAATTCTACTGTTTCTAGTTCTTCATTAAATGATTTTATAATTCTGATTGATTAAAATCCTACGTAAATGACACTTGTGCATGCAATACAAAGAATAAAGAGAATTATGCAAATCTAGGTACTGTTAAGTTTAAGAAAACTTTCAGTGCTGTGTTTATAATAAAGTTAGCAATTCTTTAAGCCTCTACGAGGTTAACAATTCTCTTATGATGCACTTGAGCACAAAAGTGGATGAAATGTGAAAAAGATCTTAAAATTGAAAATTGAAAAATAAAAAATTAGAAGAACAAACACAACATTCTCGATGAGTTTGATCAGTTCGAATCACAAAACTAGACAGGCTGTAAGGATTGAAGAGGCTTAATAAGTACCAACTACTTTTACAAAATAAATTATTAAAGCCAACTAGTAATCAACAGTACTTTTGCGTGGGCCATGGACATTTTAACTATAATAATTGCTTAATGTTAAGGTTTGTTATGAAAATTATTAAAACCTACTACCATCTTATCTTCTAGTTTAAATACTTTTTACTGTATTGCGCAATTACTAAACTTATATACTGTTTGTTCGTATCAATTTAATTTAATTGTCTTTAACTTAATTTGGAATCATTGTAATTTCGTGTAATGTCAGTCATCGAAATCATGTCTTATATCGAGACGTCGAGTGATCGTTTGTGTATAAATTTCTTTTAATTTGCGTACAATATATATTTTGTTTTATTAATTTCTGACTTCTTATTGACCATTCCTTAACCTTAAATAAGTATACAAAATTTAAAAAGATTCTTAGTTACAAAGTATGTGACAATTCTGCTTTGTTTTTTACACTATTTACTTTTTATGAAAATTTATTAACTTTATAAGTAACTAGAAGTTAGTGTCATATGTTTATTTTCCAATCTGCATCATCTTATAACCACTACATGTTAATTTATATTAGATGGGTCCTTAAACATCTCTTTATTACACAGAGCATTGCCGAAAATGTCAGGATGGTTAATGCGCAGCTTTAAATAGCATATAACACTAGTTTTCAGTATATATTAACAAATCTGCTTTATTGTTGTAAATAAATTTTAAGTTTATAATAAATGGTATTCATGAATTTTGTTTTTCTTAAATTAACTCTTTTTGTTATAGGAATGCTAGTAAGAGGATGTCCAGTTCCTGACCATGGTCGAATCTCTACATTAAAATCAAATCTACAAAATCTTCTTCACCTCGTAATGTAGAAACACCACTTTTAATTCTTTTAAATGGAAAAAGGATATATGAGTAGAAGAATTCAAGATAAAAAATTAAATTGGAAGAAGTTTTGACATAAGAACGTCTACATATATCTGTGGCAGTATTTAATAAAAAACAAATAAAAACTATTAAAAAGGACGCTTTTCCCAAAATAGTATTCGAGAAAAAATGGATTAGTTATGCTGTTGTACGGTTGAGAAAAATTTTCCAGGATGAAGGAAAGATAAATATTTTTATGGACATACTTTAAATCACTTCCTATTTAAAAAAAATCGTCAATTCTAAGAAAAGTTACAAATTATTTTGGATATATGCTGCACCTGAAAAATCTGCATTCTGTACTATCTATCTTCTGTAAGTTAAATAAACACTTTCATAATAAGTTTAAAGAAATTTATATTATTAATTATTTGGTACTTTCTTATCATTGCAATAATATAGAATATTTTTTGTATTAAAATCTATGTTTGAGGGCCATGTACAAATTACGTAAGACCATTTTTGGAAATTTTAACCATTTCCTTCCCCCAAGTAAAGAATATTATATAAATTAGTGCCATTCTTTTGCTGGTCATGAAAAATAGCTGGACCCTCCCTCATCTTTGAAACCATACGTAATTTGTACATGGTCCCGTAATACCGTTATCATTGGTTACATATTACTATGACTGAATGTAAATATAATTCAAAGCTAAGTCAACAATTATCGGCATGAAATAAAGTTGAACATAAGCAATACATTGTATTGTTTTCTTATTACTTTTTGACCTTATTGATAACAAACAAGAGCACACAGCGAAATATATAAGAATGTGCTGAAACTATATTCCACTCGGAAATGTTCATCTTTCCAAACTCGTATCATAGTCTATTTTTTTATAATGTTTTGGCATTCAGATGTTGTTAAGGACAATATCTTATTAAGAACACGTGTTAACTGCTAATTAAGAACAGAGTTCTTAATTAAATCACTAAGTTGTGAATACCAAAATCGAAATCTTTTAAACGATGGGTTCATGAAATTAAACGCTTCTATTATTTATTATTACTTTTATTGTCTTTTTTTAAGTATGTATGAAGAATTGAATCAACGTCCATAAAAATTATGAAAAAATAATTGTGGATTTTGTATAAAAAACAAATACAGTCCACTACGTTAATAGGGCCGCTTCCCCTGATATTCGCTCGAACTCTTCTCCCACTTTTTGTCTAATGTTTCAAACCTTATAGATTCGTTGTCGAATCTCTGATGATAGGGCCGGGGCAGAGGGAGAAACTCTTTTCATGGATTTTGCAAAAAGTTTTCAATATATTCCTCAGCTACGGAGGCAATTAATTTGCACATAACATACCTAATCTATATTATTATAAACATTTTCCAACAACTTTCATTTAAAATTATTCAAAACTCCATTAATCAGATAGCGGGAAAATTTGTGTTGTAAAACTGTGACATCATAATGTTTCAAATGCTCTTTTAAGACTTTAAAAGAGAATTAGCTGTTCTATATCATTAAATACTCTGTTGTTGATAACGAAATCACACCTTTGTTTATAAGAAATAATGTTTTATATAACGCAATTATTTACAAAATTGTTTTACATAACTAACAAATATTTTATTTTTTTGTTGCAGGTAAGGAGACTAGAATATTCAAATAGACTTTCTTTCTGGTGCCATCTATATCAGTGCGATATAGATGAAAAACTCCACAAAATATGCAAAGAAGGATTTTAAAAGAACAACACAATAGGAAAGATGCATTAAAAAATCTATTTATCTAAAAAAAATATTTCATAAAAAACAATATCCTTACACTCGAACAAAATAAAAAAATAATTAATCTGTTTCTACTATCTGTGTATATATTTGAAATAATTAGATACTTTTTTTATTAATAATATACAATTGTAATATTAACCTTTAGAGGACCTTCTGATAAAGCTTTTTATCGAATTGACTTCTTCTTTACAAATTTTTTAAAACAAAAGTTACTAAAATCTGTGCAAATTTATTGTCCCTCTAAAGGTTAATATACAAATTATTAATATACAGTAGTACTTTAATTTATTGTCAACTGCTTAACAAACATCTTGTCAAACTATACCAAAAAGACAGATAAGCAAATGTGCATAATTTAATAAAGTTATAGCTTAATTTTTAAAAATAATCGTACGAACAAATCCTTTACAAAATTTTTGTATTTTATGGTTTACTTATTAAAACATAAGTTTTTCCAAAATTATAATTAATTTTTATTATTAAAAAGTAATTAAAGCAGCTCACTGGCAATATTAGGAAACCATTAGACTTATGAAAGAATATACCTGATTGAATACTCATGCACATGAACCTGCGCATATTTATTTTATTTGGTTTAAATAAAAATTTTATTAGACACTTTATCAGTTGGAATACAAGTAATAATGTCATCCATACATAACGAAAGAAAGCAAGGGTTTGAATCTCTCCCCAAATAGTTCCGAAACAAGTGAATCCACATTGCTTTCATAAATCTGTTTATAGTATTTATTATTAAATTGATAGAAATATAAAAAGTCAATGAAACAATGCCCAAAAAAAATTTTAAAGCAATATTAAACTGTTCAGAGATATTGTTGAAAGAAGATATACTTCTTTCAATGCTTTTTAGTACCAATTCACAAATGACATTGCAGATGTTCCGCGTTTTAAAGTAGTTTCAAAATTCAATCTTATTTGGGATGAGGATAAGTCAATAAGCCTACTAAATACTATGAGAGAATATTTTTTTTTAAATTTATCAAGAAAGAAAAGAGTTGTCAGTTATATAATGAATTTGTTCGTAATAGAAAATCTTACTTTAAAGAATAACGATTGGCACTGATGTTTCAATCGGTGATGATTATCCCGGTCTCCAATTTCAAGAATTTATTTTATCAGGTCCATATTCATTTGTCATAAACTTTTTTTGATTGAAAATTGTGCAAGTAATAAACTTGTAATCATCAAGACTCCTTAAGGTAGTACATCGGTTAATGGACTTTTCATATATTGTTTTGAAATTTTAACGATACATTCTTCATATAGGGTTATCCTTTTATTTGTGAAGTTTGAAAAATTTTGCCCGTATGGAAGAAAAGATAATTAATAACAAAGATTTGTAATTTTACATGTAAACATTTAGAAGTACATTGATTAGCATGTAGGTATGGGACACTTTCATATAATTATTAACAAAAGTTGATTATACATTTTACTCAAAAACTACAATCAAATATATAACAAAATTGTGAATAATAATTTTCAAGAAAATGGTAATTTGTCATTTCTGTTTTTATATATATATATATATATATACGTATAAGAGGGTATTTGTGTATTAGTAAGGGCAGGTAATGTTGAAAAGTATGGAGCAGGTAGAGATTTATATGTATATGACATATATCTAACCGATGTAGTACCTTAAAATTAATTCTACACGCTAAAAATACTGCGCAGCCTCTAAACTTTACGCATTTTATTACACTTAGACATCAATGACCATGTTCATGTACATAAACGTGAATTTAAATATATTCAAACTAATATATTGCTAAATATACACCAGTTCATGTACGTCAACTTGTTCATGGTACATGCGCCACAAACACGCACATGTTCATGTGCACAAATTTAATTTTCAATCGAGTTTTTAAGTAAAGTAGAAGTAGACTGGGCGATATCACCATTTACCTTTTATTTTCGTATTTTACAACTTATAAATTAAATCTCCCACGTCAATTATAGTTAAAGCAGTCTACACATGTACCATAATTTTCGAATCAATTGGTAGTTTTCTTTACCTGACACAATATTTTCCATTATGGATCATGTACCTTGCATTATTTTGCACTTCTCTGGCAACAGCTTTTTCTTCTCTTCTTTCTCTAATTTCAGTTTTTTTACGTCTAAACATCTTTGTAATATTGCGCATAACATTTCTATAAATTTTAATTAAAAAAAGTTGAATTGATTTTGTTATAATTTTTAATAATTACACTCCAATTAATTTCAAACTTTTAGAAATAATGAAAAAATTCTTGTAATGTAATATAGAATTTCTTAATTTTATTTATTTATCAGAAATTTGAAATACATTATTTTAAAACAGTTCAAAGTAATACTTTCCTACTTTATCAACAAGAGATATACTTCATGCACATTTAGGTAGTAAGCAACTTATGTCACCACAGCGCGCCATCTACATTACAGTAGGAGTCAACAAAATTCTTCTATAAGGTAACTTATCGGTAGAACCTATCTGAACCACTTCTTACATAATTACTGATCGGTAAGTACAAAATTCTCAAATTTTGTTAAAAAGGGTTATGACAGCTTTTTTATTTTTAACAACAGTAGATAATATTACTAAGCTTTATTTAATTTTCGAAAATTTATAAAAAAAAAGCCTTTAAACAAGAATAACACATATTTCTCTTGTAGCGAAGGAATAAGCATTTAACTGCGGATAAACAAACATAAGGAGTTTCGCGATAGGCGAATAATAAATCATTATTAAAGTTCATTGCACCTGAGTGTTGGCAGGTGCTTTCCTGCAACTTTGCAGTTTTCGACTGTTGCGTATGACTTCGTAACATTTTTATATTGAGAATGTCCCACACATGTCCTTAATGTGTCCTGAGAATGTTCTAAAAATATCCTCAATGTGAACTGAGAATGTCCAAATCATGTCCTATAAATGTCCTCAACATTTCCTGAGAAAGTCCCAAATACTTCCTGAAAATATCCATATGACATATTTGGACGTCTTCAGGCCAAACATTAGAATTCGATTAAGACGTCTTTAACTCATCTTCAGGATATCTTTCTAAAGACATTGCTAAGATAGGGTAAACTGTACAGTTGACGGACACCTCTAAATTTTGAATAACTACAAATCCATATGAGATAGAAACAATTTGGTAAACCAGACTACTGTCTGGTATATATTCTATCTTTAGAATATTTTAAAGGTGTTTTTTTACAATGTCCTAAGAACGTTCCGAAAGGATATCCCAGGGATGTCTGTGCCCACTGGGGTGTAACCCTATCTACACAGAACAAATTGAACTAAGTCCTCCAGACTGCACAAGACTGTAGGTAACTTATCCTCCACCAGTATTCAACAAAAAATAAGGGTTGACGTTGACTAACGGTAAAGTCTCTACATGTTTACCAGGTCTACGACTGATTATAATACAGTTCTATTTCGCTTATGTTGAATAAAGATGTCACCATATAAAAATGTGTATAAAATTTTAAGAACTTTTATTAAATTTGGAAAACTATTTCCACCATTTCCATATGAAACAGTATAAACTATAAATAATAGATAATAAAAAGAAGCAATACTTGTGATAAGCGCAAATTTTTAAATTTTATGTCTTATGCACCATACTTAAGCTCAAAATCAATAAACAATCCCGTGAACAGAAAAATATTCGGTGCCATTTTTTGCAACTGTGTAAGGCTCGCTGAATACTTAAAAAAATCGCGTTGCGAATAAGCGTAAACGGATAATTAATCACTTTCTTAATTTTTTAATAATTGTGTTTAAATTATAAAAGTCAAGAAACTACAATTACCCACGAATGCATCGGTGCCATTCTTTGCTACTGTGTAAGGCTCTCTGAATGTTTTTAAAATACGGCACAGCGAATAAGCGCAAAGGGATAATTAAATTTTGTTTAGAAGATTTCATTAATCTTACTTTGGTTATATCATGGTGATCTTCGTAAATTATTTATAAATAAACAGTAGAAATTTTTTTGTTAACCCTCCGTCACACACCTAGGGAGGGATTCCCTCTCCGGTTTCAGTATTTTTTAAGGGTGCAGTCTGGGTCTTTTGCACGTATTTTGAAGAATTTTTTTTCATAGTAAAATTTATTTAAACATTTTAAAATTTTTACATATTATTATACATATATTAAACTAAGTAAAAAAATGTCTTTCTATATTTTGTTATTAATAGCGAAGAAATGGCGACTGTAAAAAAATCTCGAAAATCTGGTTGACATAATATCTCTATAGTCAGAACAGACGGAATCAAAAAATTCAAACAGCATATTCAAATATACACACTAAAAAAAAAGTTTTACTTTCAGCCTGTTTTCGAGGCTGAATTTAAGGTGTAAACGGAGTCAGCCCCATTAAACAAGGACAGACTTATGTGAAATACATGGGCTGAATTTAAGGTGTAAACGGAGTCAGACTTTTTTTTTCCTGTGTAGGTAAGTGGTTATAGCCTGAAGTAAAATCATAATTTTTAACCTGGTTTTCAAACAATTTTAGTTGCAAAAGAAGGGTTAAAATAGTAAAAAGTCCGCCATTGTGTTATTTTTCAATCTAAATTTTTTACTTTACTTCAGGCTATAACCACTTACCTGTATTTTAATATGCCGCGTTTGAATTTTTTGATTCTTTCTGTTCTGACTGGAGATATCATGTCAACCAGATTTACGAGATTTTTTTTACAGTCGCAATTTCTTCGCTATTAACAAAAAAAATATAGAAAGACATTTTTTTACTTAGTTTAATATATGTATAATAATATGTAAAAATTTTAAAATGTTTAAATAAATTTCACTATGAGAAAAAAAAATTCTTCAAAATACGTGCAAAAGACCTAGACTGCCCCCTTAAATAATTTTTGTTTTCCTAATTGCAAAATATAATCAGTTTCTATAACTTTCGATAGTTCCCTCGTCAACACATTTCTAAAAAACAATTAGTTTAAACATAATTAATCTTCAATTATTATAGGCTTCGAAGCTAAAAAATCTCGCAAAAGTGAGGAAATTTTAAGTAAAAAAATCAAGTTTTTAAAACATTTTTTGTTCCACTGTTAGTTAATGATACATATTTGTAAGTTTGTGTTAAAACTAAATTTTTGTTGATTCCTTCGTTTATGTCATTGTAATGCAGCTTATTTTACAACGTGGTGAGGAATTCCCTCTAAACGTGTGTAATTGCGTGTAATTATTTCTAAGGTGTGTGAAGGATAGGGTTAAATTACAATATTAATTAATTTTTTTGTGGAAACTTGAAGCTGAAAAAGGTAAAATTAAAGGCGTCTTAATCAAATTGTATGTCTGGCCTAAAAACGTCTAAATGT